GAGGTCAAGACAGTTGGCTCCCTCACACAAGAATTTTTTGTGCATCTTATCATATGGCTACACAGAAACTGGTAAATATAATCTAATATAGCTCAGAGCTCATACAACTAAGTTTTCAGTAGCAACTTGATATCTCATCCTTGAAAACTAAATTTGAAGTCCTTTTTGGAGTGCTCTAAGGCCTGGCTGTCTCTTTGACAAGCAATAATCTCCTCATGCTATAAAAATCGAAGGATTTTTGCTATGAACATCTTTGCATTACCTGCCTCCTTCTCAGTTTCTGACTCAGAAACTTCATCTTCACCTTCCTCCTCTTCTGAGCTGGAGCTGCTGGATTCCTTGTTTTCCTCCTCCATTTCTTGGGACTTGGGTGTCTCTTCCTCATAGAGCATCTTCTCCTTGCTAAAATAAAGATGGTAATTTGAGTGAAATTCAGAAATGACAAACAATTTCTTAAGTTTGCTGACAATCAAGTGTAAGAAGGAGAATGAGTCTATAAATCTTACGTAGGAGTAAGAGAAACATATTCAAATCCTTCTTTATAACTGTGTTGTTCTGAATCCTTGGTTTTCTGCAGACTGAGGTTTAGGTTTGACTCCAGAATATGACTTAAGGAGATCTGGCTTGTCCAATCCACAGAAAAAAAGAGGTCTATGCATCTTGATGATGATAGGGCAGGTAAATATTCAAAAAATGCATTTAACAAATATGTACTGAGTACTTATTACATGCCAAGAATCATGTTAGGCAATGGTGTAGTGGTAAACAAAACAGACATGGTCCCTGAGTTCACAGAACTTAACAGTATAGTAAGGGGAGCAGTTGAGCCTAAGATCCCCTAAGCTAGAAAAAAAAGAAACGCTGCACACATTCTCAATTAATTTCTAAGTTTAAAACACTTTCAGCCATCCTCAGAGTCTACCCCATGTATCAGTGCCACCTCCTTGCCCCTCAAGCATTCCCACATGATTAAAGATCATTCGGCAAATACAGAGTTTCCTTACTACAAGAATTCTCAAGCTAAGTATGTCACACACACCTACACACTCACATACAGCAGAGGTCATCCCACTTCTCAAGCCCCAAATGTCTTACTTCTTAAAGAGTCCACTCTGCAATTTGCTGTTCAGGTCTGACTCAATGAGTTTATTTCGTGTCTCTTTTTCACTTCGAAGCTGGAAATTGAGAAAACAGAGAGAAAAGGGAACTTGACTACTGTTAAAACAAAGCAAAACAAAAAAACAGCAACAATGAGTAGAACTCAAATTGGTACTGTCCGTTTGAAGAAGACAGGACTAACACCAGAGGATGGAGGCACTGAGAATAAGAGAAACACATCAGTTGGGTCTCCTTAGAAGAGAATGAGAGAGAAAAATCTTCACCAAGGTAGCCGAGAAAAAACACAGTGTTAGAACTTCAATAAAACTACCCCTAACAAACATCCTAACCCACTCTTTTAATAAAGCTTAGCTTCTAAAGGATAAAAAGCCAAAAGGAACTTTGAAAGAATTCTTCGTGATCCATATACTGAAATATGTTTGCAATCGTTCTAAAGAAAAGACAGAATGGGAAATAAGCGCTTAGAGAAAACTGCATGGCATTTAGATGCATGTTCCAGACAAGACGTATTTATATTCCTGAACCTCAAAGGGGAGCCCTGGTGGTGAAGTGGTTAAGAGCTACGGCTGCTAACCAAAAAGTCCACAGTATAAATCCACCAGCTGCTCGCTGGAAACCGTATCGGGAAGTTCTAGTCTGTCCTATAGGGTCGCTATGAGTCGGAATTGACTTGACTGCATTTCCCAGTCCCAGTCCCCAGAACCTCAAAGTTATGGAGGGGCAGAGATAAACACCAGTCCCATTAGGGTAGAAATATTATTTAGTGAAGATGAAATTTATATGTAAAAACCTAACTATGCTGGGTAAAGTATACATGAGAACTCTCTGTACGATTTTTGCAGCTTCTATGTGGAGTCTAAAAATTATTTCAGAATAAAAAGTTAAAAAAAAAAAAAAGAATCTATACAAAGTATACATCTTGTATTAGGAGGGCTACTTTGTTAAATAGTAGCACTGGTACTGTATTTAGAAAGTCCTGTCTGTCCTATCTTTAGTGATCCTGGTCGTTTGTCAAAGAAAACAAAATGAACTCTAAGTTGTTATTGTTTAAACATTATGTGTTCGATTTTCCCACTGAGCCCTGAAGTACAAGAATTTTCGCTTCACCAGTCCAGATACGAGGCTGAACACACATGAGGTTAGATATGGTTGATTTGTCTCATCACTGAGCTACGTAGTTCTGCCATCTAAAACTGCTCTAAGTTTCCTACATTTACCCTAAATTTAAGTTCACATGCCCTGAGCCACAACACATGCAAAAGGAAAAAAGAAAGGAAAGTCAACCATTTTTCTCTGTCACACCCTGATAAAACAGGGAATTCTCAAGCCTCTAATGTCATTGATCTTTATTCTCCTTGCCCAGATTACTCATCCTCCTTAGGGTAGAAAATGTCAATCATTCACTGTCCATCTGTATACTCGGTGGGTTTTTCCATTCTGCAGTCTGTACATGGGTGCCATGTTCACATAGTTTTCCTATATAGCACTAAGCAGAATGGCATGTACAAACAAACAAGATTCCAAATGAGGAGGAGGAGGAAGAAGGCTGAATTCTGGATGCTTGATGAATCTGGAATAAGTATAAATCACTGACCAAGTACTGTCCAACACCAAATGATAGCTTTGGTTTTGTGTGTCTGTATATTTTTCAAAACAGAAATGTATTCTTCTCTCTAATCAATGCATGTACTTTAAATAAATACATCCTTTTAATCAATGAGAAATAAAATGCTATGTGGTATCTTCTACTCTGGTAGCCCTTGTTTAGAAAAAACTCTGATTTGAACATATACTCATTTTCTAGAACTCAAGCGTAATTATTAGTTAGTTAGGTGTTTTTTCTTTTAACCTTTAGCTGTGTGAAGGCTATCTTACAATAAGTAAACTTTAACAGCAATGGTTTCCGGGATGTTTTCTTCTAACAGACTGTTGGTCGTCCCTGAGAGGAACAATTATCATCTCTGGAATGCAGATATGTCCATTTCGGCTCTCAGCAGAGACATACATAACTAAGAAAGCCAATGATTAAGATACCAAGTGGATTGCAAACTGTTCCAAAAGCCTTAAAAGCATCAACAGAGACTTACCATCTTCTGCTTCTTCTGGAGCATCTCCAAGTGCTCCACGAGACCCTCATCAGCCACATCAAATGGGGTCTGGCCCTGGCAGAGAAAAAAGGTGCACCACAACCGATAAAAAATCAGCAGCAGTCAAGTGACTGTACTTTATCAGGTAGGTACTCTATAGTCACTTTCTGCCTTTGATTCCAGTGATAGAGGCTTCTCTGACTAATCTACCCTACGTGATGATAATGCCTTCATTCACCACAGAGGAAACATAATGTGAAAGAGCAAATCCTTTAAATACAGAGCACTATATTCTGCAAAACAGTACTGAAGAAACCACAACATTTTTAATGTTTACTGACTCTTGGCAAATAATCAATTGAAATCTTTGCTTGTGCTTCTTCTAAAATGGTCTTAATTGTCATGATAAATTCAATAAGGGGCTCTTAAAAACTTCAGAAGGAGGTCCACAGTGCTTGTGCACTGAAGACTAAGTCATAAGGATCATCTTCCTTTAAGTGAGAGAAGGGCAGAGATGGAGGTCATCTCTTTTAGGAAACATCAGCACAATTAAGGAGCCTGACCCATAGTCTAAGAATGACACTTGGGATCAGGAGAAATGCGAGGCAGGTAAGAACGCTGACTAATTAAAAGGCTACATCTCTGGATTCCTAGAAAATTGTAGGCTATGGGGTTCCAGGGCTTCTAAGCTGCTTGAAATGAGACTGTTTTCAGCCACACTCAAGGATCTTTGTCATTAAAATGTTTTTTAATGACTCAATATGAATACAGCTTGGCTGTTAAGTTTCTGAATTAAATAGTAAAATAAAATCTTTCACATTTCACTACAGACAATGGCCGTAGGCTCCTCTGAAACTCATTTTTGCAAGGGCAAAACATTTGGCAAGTATCTTTGTTTTCCTGTTTTTGTTTTAGAGGCGTCAACATAAGTAGAATCAGAAGGCTAGTGGAGTTTTATCATACATAGTAAATAAATCTCTTTTGATAACTGGGGGAGCCAAAGGGATACAGCACCACTGCTACCAGTGAAGTATATTTCCCCAGGGCAGTTAGGCTGGTCAATTAATAGACTTTAAACCTTTTGTTCTAGAGACCCAGTCACCAATCTCTTCGCCCCTTTAGAGGGTCAGGCTCACTAACCAGTTTGTTCCTGACATCCATGTCACAGAGGGCTTCTGCCAGGATGGAGCAAGCCTCCTTCACTCCCCAGTGTGCAGCAGCATGGAGGGGGGTCCAGCCATCATGATCCTGAACATTGAGTTCATAGCCAGCCTGAATTAAAAGTCTAAGAAGAAAACCCCACACAAGACATTTATCTCCTCTGTAGTACAGTTTTCTGCCAAATAAACCATTATTCAACTGATATTTCAGGATTTGGGCACGGAATCACAGGGGGCCTGTAATTATTTCTGCCCTCTAAGGCACAGCTCAGGTTTCACAGTTATTACTATGAGGACCAATCATAGGTGAGATTTACCTATCTTCTCCAAAAGGTCACATGGTGTTTCCTACATACATCCATGTTACACCATAAAAGAGGGGTGCATGGAAAGATGTGTGTCTTTGATACCTGAGATTAACCAAAGCCTAATTCAATTAGCCAAATCACACAACTCTTATTACAAGTAGCTTTCCAGCCTTTCTAGTACACACATGTTTATTGTAGCTTCTCGTACCTCCCCCTCTGCAAAAGTATCTGCGAGGGGTTTTTGCTAACTATAAAGCTATAGTCTAACTTGTGTGCATGGAGGAGGAAGATGGTGACTCCTGAACCCTGATGACTCCGGAGGGCACAAACTGCATCTGGGCTGGTTGAGGCTATCTATATCATGGGCCTCCAGACACTTTCCAAGAATTGAGCAGAATGTGAACATCATTCTCAGGCAGAAATGGAATACCAACATGCTGCCACACCTACCGGAAACCCCACAGTAGGTGGAATATGAAGCACTGGAAGAGTCCAAATACAACTCTAAATACAATGCTTCTAGCAACCTCTGTTATTTAGGACAGCCTGTCAGCATTATGCACCAAGAGCTACATAAAGCACGTATGCACATGAGGAAAAGTGGAACAGGTAGACTTAACCCATTGCCGTCAAGTTGATTTAGACTCATAGTGACCCTATGTGACACAGCAAAACTGCTCCATAGGGTTTCCAAGGCTGTAAATCTTTACAGAAGCAGACTGCCACATCCTTCTCCTGTAGAATGGCTGGGGGGGTCAAACTACTGACCTTTTGGTTAGCAGCCAAGAGCTTAACCTCTGTGCCACCAGGGCCCCTTACGGGTAGAGAAGTAGAATCTAAGTCCCTCATATAAATTTGACTATATACCCAAATTACAGATTGAACAGTCAGGGTTTGTATAATTAACCTAATGAGCCCAAAGAAATTATCCACATCCAAAGAGGACCAGAATGATCACAAGTCTGTCCTGTATTACAGGTCACAAACGAAGGAGGCTGCAGGAAGATTAATGATGAATCACAGAGCTGGAAGAAGTCTTGTAAAGTCACCTTCTAGGCCAGTGTGCCTCAACTCTGTTTCACATCATACATCTCAGTGAGAAGGAAGGGGACAACCCACAGATGAATACTAGCAAAATGGGAGAAGATTACAAGATCAGAGAGGAAACCAACAAAAAAAGGGTGCACACCATAGCTGAGATTTTAATTCATCCCCTGCTTCCAAAACCCAACTCAACTTCTCCCAGTCAACCAAACTTCTGATTGAAGTAAATGGACAATACCTGAGAACCTCAGAGTAGCCCTTGGCAGCAGCCACATGGAGGGCTGTGGCCCCTGAGCGAGCCTGCCTCACATCCTCTATTTTCCCACTGTTGAGCCACTGGCGAGCATCTTGCAACATCTGTTGTTCTTCTTCTTTTCTTGACTGCTCTAGATCAACTCCTACAGAAACCAGACACCAGATAGCCAGCATTACTAAAGGTCCACTTAAGTCTGGCATGATATTTTACATAGATTCAAAACACATCATAAATACAACTACAATCAACAGTTCAGTTGTCAAGTTGTATATTCATCAAATTTACTCTTCATTTAGAAGAGCAATGGCACCTGTATACACATTAGCGGTCTTACTGGAGTTAAATCGTGTGGTTAAACATTATGCAATTGCAGAGCCATTAGGAGAACACATCTAAAATTGTTTTCAATAGAACATAAAGATCAAAGGGGACACAATTTTTACATTATAATATTTATACAGAGCAACCACGGCACCTAACTACAACAAATACTTTTCAAAGTCCTTTTGCATGTTATACTATTTTATTTTACTGTAATCATAACAGATATTATTATCCCCACTTAACAGATGAGGTAATAAACATACGTTAAATGTCTTGCTCAAAGCCACAAAACACATTTTTGACAGAGCTGGCACTAGAACTCTGATGTCCTGGGTACTTGTCTGTTGTTTTCCACTCACTACACCCTAAGACTGGGATAAAAAATCTTTGTTTCAGGTATGATATACCTTTAAAAACAAACCACCTCTATCATTCATTTATATATGTGGGAAAATACACTGACTGGAGCTATACAGTCCAGAGGAGGTGAGTCCCACACCAACACACATGTAGGTAATACGCAGGTAGGAAGATAATACACAGTTAAAAACCAGCTTGCTTCTAAAGGATTAGATTTTGTTTCCCTTAGAAACATTACAGAGAAACCCCAGAGATTTCTCTCTTTAGTCAACAACTCTCCAGCATCTGTGCTGCTGAAGGGGAGGAGGGTGGATATTCACCATTATATAAAATAATGAAATGTCCCAAATCAAACTTATTCATTCAAAGAGTTGTATACCCATTAGCAGCCTTTATCTGTGCTTGGTCAGCTCCCTCCCAGCACATTTCTAAAATGAGAATGCGTGACCTACCTAAGAACTGTCTGTCTGATTCGGGGAGACTGATGGGATGAAGGGGTAAGTGATT